AAAAAAGCAAACTGTTTCAATATTCTGGGTACAACTTTCCCCAAGTGAATCACTCCCATATGCCTACTTTTGCCATGGGCCCCTTTCCAAAGGAAATGATTTGTGTGAATGGAAATGTGGGATGCTTTCTGGTGGGCAAAACTTCAGTGGTGCTCATGTTTGGCAGAGTCGATTAATTGTTAGACCACTCATCCACAAGTCTCAAAATACAAAACCCACTCAATACTTGCTTTTGCTTCCTTGTAATAAATATATAATCTCATTACAAAGATTCAAAAGCACTTATTTAAGGCAAGGCTGCTTCTGGAATTTCATGTAAACAGATTTTAAACACAAGGTCATAAGCAAAATGAGACTAGAGAAATTTGCAAGAGGCGGGCATTTTTTTTTCACTGTTTGAGACAATACAAATAGCTTAAAAAGCAAATATTTATTCTTTTTGTGAACTTTTGTTACATGTAATATGAAAATCTTGACTAGCAAAAATGAGTTATTTTCCAGATAGAAGCCCAACAAATGTGGGAATTACGAATTCTTCGTATTTTTTTTCCTTTTCCATTGGGCATCAGACTGGTATTCTTATCATTTTCAGGTAAACCGAGTCTCTTGCTGTTCCTATCTCAAAGTAGTACAAATTGTGTAAGGCTAAGAAGGAAAGATGTGGACAGGAAGATCATTAATGCAAAACTTGACTTTGTTTCAGTGGAAACCAACTACACTGAAAAATACAAAGGAAACACAGTTATTAAGCTGATTAGCTGTGGCTCTTCTAAATCACACAGTAGTAACGCCTGCTTGCTGTGTGAGCTTAGGGAAGTTCTTTAACCTGTCTAGTTTACTTTCCTGACTTTTATGGTGTGGATATAACCGACTATCTACTAACTAGGGATTGCATGAAAAATATTTAGAATACCATCTGGCGCACAGTAAGCATTCAGTAACTGTTTCCCCATTTTATTTCTTCCCTTTAACCAAAATATCAGCTGTACATGAGAGCAGGAACTTTGTCTTTGTTCTATAACCCTAGCATCTGTTTTATGCATAGTAAGCCCTCAATGAACATTTGCTGAACTGATTAATTAACGAAAATAACTAGGCCTTGAGATTTAAAGTCCAAGAAAATTTATTCTGATTTTCACAATTAGTGAGGGAAAAAACAGATCTCAGCTGGGTGTGGTGGCATAGGTTTGTAAACTCAGCTACTTGGGAGGCTGAGGCAAGAGGATCCAAGGTTTAAGGCCAAATTGGGAAACTTAGCGAGATTGTTTAAAATGAAAAATTTTTGAAAGAAGGGAGGACTGGGAATGTGCCCTGAGTTCAATTCCTACCACTGAAAAAAAACCTGTTTAGGGTACTTAGGGAGTAGGAGAGACCCTCAAATGAGAATGAGAAGACCCTATTTCAGGTTTAGATTCTTCTAACTCTCTGAGTATTGGGACTAAGACTTTCTGTTTTAATTTGTAAAATAAGAATGACAGCTCCCAAGGTTATTTGAAAGATTAAAGGGTACATGAAAGCTCAAATAATATAGGAAAAACAAAAAAAAAATGGTATTGTTAATTTTCTCTCAGTGACTTTGTCTACTGGGTGACAATAAGAGCACTTGGAGAAAGAATCTTAAGCTAAAGATTCAAGTACTAAAAATATTCAACCCCAGAGGTACCACAGACATAGACTAATTTTTTCCATCTGTGCAGTTTAGGGTAGATTTGGCACACACTCAATACCAGGCAAGAAAGAAACTATGGTTTAGGCTGCTTTTACAGAAAGAAAAAAAAAAAAAAAAAAAAAACCAGAAAAGGAAACCATTTCCTTTTATAAGCATGAATGTTAAAATAGAGCTTTTATCGAGTAATTCACTGAAGCAAGACTTCGATATCTCCCCTCCCCTACCTCCCCTCACTCCCTATTTATGTTCTGATTAGGTGGTTGTTTGTTGTATCATGGTTTATCTAGCATGGGCATTTCCTCCTCTCCAAAACAAAACAAATATAGATTCCTCTTAACCAGCCACTCATGACTCAGATCGAAAGGGCAGTTCTCTGGAGGATAACTAATTACTAATATTTAAGGACCTGGTTTTCAGAGCCAGGGGTTATTCAAAATATTATAGCTTTACGACTAAGCTCCACCCACGAGGCCTCAACGGAGTCTGAATTTGAAGTTGAGAAACTGGTTTGAGGAAAAAGATAAAGTAGAAAAGCCATGGAGGGTTAGCTGATGACTCACTGCCCCCTTCCTTGAACTTCAGGAATGAAAGATGGAAAGGAAAAAAAATAGAGGCAATGTCCCACTGCAGCGTGGAGGCGGCATGAAAGACAAGAAACCAGCAACTTACAGAATTCCACGGGCTCCTGAGAGGGTACGCTTGCACTCACCTCTAACAACAACGCAGCAACAAGTTTAGGTTTCTCTTGGCAACACAGTGAGACCCTCTCTCGAAAAATTTTAAAAAGGGCTGGGGATGTAGCTCTGCGCTAGAGCACCCCTGGGTTCAACTTCCGTGACTGCAAAAATAATGAACAACGACAGCAAAAAAAGAATTACCGAGGTTTTTAGGATTAAGGCTGCCTGCCTGCCGTTAAGTGCATCAAAGAAGAACACTAAGAAAACGAAATTGATTTTACTTTATGAGCGCTATGGTCCTAAGTCAGATCGTTTTATGTCCCTGCTAAAAAATTACACCAATTACTCTGCTCCTCCCTGAAATCTAAACTCACAATGGCATAGAATGTTCTTCATACCGTGATCCTAACCTTCCTTGGTACTTTCATCTTCTATTTATTTCTTACTTCTCATGGAAGGTATGAGGGACCACTTCTAATCTCCTGAATAGGCAAGATGCTTTAAACCTCCATTCATTTGTTCACACTATTCTCTTTGACCCAGACTTTCATTCCAGCCTATGTGTTTCTCCCTCTCCCTCTCCCTCTCTCTGTACCAGGAATCGAACCCATGACTTTGCACTTGCCAGGCAGGCACTTAGGCCCTGAGCTAAGTCACCAGCCCCATATGTGCTCATCTCAAGCATCGTTTTTTTTCTCTACAGCTTTCTTGACTTACTTTCTCCTGCCACTCAAAATGATTGTCCTTTCATTTCTAGAGTCATGGCCCTTCAAACACACCGTTGTTAAACCACTGGACGTGATGAGTTAGATCTCCTCAACTCACTGCATATTCCCCAAAGTGTGAGCGGCTAATTGTGCAACTCTAGCACCCTCTAGAAGGACACAGGCTTGCCAAATTGGATCAATATTAAAAGACAACCATACGTAAGTTTCTCTAGCTCTAAGGATTATGCTAGAAAGTATATGGTAGTGCCTGCTTCAGCAGTATATATACTAGAAAGTATATAGTAAATCTGTATACATAGATGACCCTGCTTTTGGTGTTACCTGTGTCTCTGTGTGTGTAATTTGCTTTTATTAAATGTGTTGTGAATATATTTCTCTAGATAAAACTTTACTGACCCATTCACTACTTGACATTTTCAAACTGCATCCCAGTTCTTTTCAAAGAAGCTGAGTAATTTGAAATACGGCCCAGACGGAGTGGAATCGCACAGGAGGCTTTTGCTCTTCAGATGCCTCTGCAGGCTGCAGCCTTTGGAGAGATGAGCTGAATGGGAACCAGACAAACACCATGGAATTTTAACTTTGCACTTTCTCTTTTCCAGCATTTAACTTTTCTTGTCTGAATTAAACAATTTAACTGAAGAAATGTATAATCCACTTATTTCCCCCTTATTCATATACCTGCCTTGTTTCAGAAGAATAGAAGAAAAATTCAATTAGTCCATGTTCACAGGACATAATGCCTGTATTCTTCATGGGAAGCTGGTGTGTGTACTTAACACATCTTAATTCTTCTTTTCAACCCCTTCTCCTGTCTCCTTCCATCTCTTGGTCCTATTCCCATTTTCAAAAGATCCAGCTACCTATTTCCTATTATCTACCTTTTAGTTTGCTTTCTATAGAGTTTCCAACATTTGAGAAACCATGCATTATTTAAGCTTCTGTGTCTGATTTATTTCACATAACATTATTGTCTCGAAGTGCATCCATTTTCCTACCAATCACTCCTTCATCCTTCTTAAAGGCAGAGTGGCATTCTATTGGGTATAAATGCCATTTTAAAAATGTATTCATCTTTTTATGAGCATGTAGGCCACTTCCAAGATTCAGCTGTTATGAATTGTTCTGCCATAAAGATGGGTCTGCATGCATTACTATGACTTGATATTTTTAACCCTTTCAGGAAGACACCTCAAAGGGGAATAGCTGGATTGAGTGGAATTCCTATTTTTAGTTTTCAGGACAAAAATTGAAGGCAAATAAAGAAAAAAATTCAAAAACAAGCTGTTCCACACTCATTCCTTTGGTTGTTTGGATGACCTTCTGGTAGTAGTGCTGGTCAGTGTAAAAGATTCATGGAAAAGTTTTATGAGCATTAGTTATGCCATTTCTGGAAGCACCCTTATTGTGCTTTAGAGCACATGACCTGGCCAGGCCTATGGTCACTTTTACCCTAAGACTAAGTAACTTGGAATTTGTTCGGACCTTTGAATTTCTCACTTCTACCCTTACCGAGGTTTCATAACAATGGAGTTAGCCGCTGGCATGCAGCCGGTCTGAGCCAGCTCTTGACTGATTCATGCCTGCAGAATCGCAGGGCTACAGCCCGAAACGAGGAGTAGGAGTGTGGAGTCAGTCTGTCTGAGTTTGTATCGGTCCACACCTCTGACTGGCTGTCTGACCTCAGACGGGTTACTAACCTCCCTATGTCTCACCTGTTTTATCAGTAAAAGAAGAAATAATGATGTGCTGCCTCCTGGATTTGATATGTGGTGTGAGTGAGTGAACCTGTAAATCCCTGAGAAGAGTCTCTTGCATGTGGTCAGGACTTGATAAAGATGAGCCCTATGCCTACAGTTTATATCCTGTTTTTTTATATTTTTAGGTAAGATAAGTGGGGTATGCTAAGAAATTAAAGGCAGAATGGGCATTTTTAGAACCAACTTTATTTACAAAATTGCAACTCAGTCTGCTTTGGCATCATTATTGACAAAATGCCTACAACTGAGCTACTAGAGAACTTGGTAACTAAGAAGTACATTGATTTTTTTAGCTTCACATAAAACCAGGATCCAACACTACCCCACTTTCCCACCTGTTTGGCTCTGAATGCAGGTTTAACAGACAAACACACAAATAAACAATGAAAAAGAAAAACTTCATAATGTACAGTGAGTTAAACAAACCACCTCTTCCATTTTCTTTTCTACTTCATGGTTTGGAATGAGATTACTTACGTAAATTTTGCGATTTAGAGAGAAAGCCCTAGGGAATGGGGCACTTAAAGATGAAGGTTTAATATGACATTCATAATACAACATCCATAATGGCTTAAAAATAACGCAAATAAATAATCTTGGTAAACATATATTGATAATTTTATAATAAACGTGTATCTAACATCATACTGAGGAATTAGAATATTTCTCTATGTATTTTAAAGTTTTAATTTATTCTATAAGTTGAGTTACAGTCTTGTTCCACATTAAAGCAGTTATCACCACTGTAACATGTAATAACTAGTACCTATGGAAACCTAATACCCTGCTTTTTTTTTTTTTTTTTTTTCCTTGTTTTTTTGAGATAAGTTCTTACTATGTATGTAGCTAAGGCTGGCGATGAACTCACTATGTGGCCCAGGCTGGCCTTGAATTCCAGGCAATCTTTGAGCATCAGCCTCCCAAGTGCTATGATTACAGGCATGCACCACCATGCCCAGCCACCCTGCTATTTTAATTTTAATTTTATTTGTTTGGGTTTTTTTTTTTTGTTTTTGGTACTGGGGATCAAACTTACAACCTTATGCTTGCCTGGCAGGCAGGCACTTGTGCTGCTGAGTTAAATCCCTGGCTCTTTTGGTCTTTTCTTTTTTTTTTTAATTTTTTTTTTGTCTTTTTCTTTTTTATCGGTACCAGGGATCGAACTCACGACCGCCTGCTTGCAAGGCAGGTGCTTATGCTGCTGAGCTAAATCCCCAGCCCTTTTTTTTGGTCTTTTTAAGACAGGGTTTTGCTATATAGTTTAGCCTGGCCCTGAACTCACTTTGTAGCCCAGGCCGGCCTCAAACTCTCAAGTGAGTCTCTTGCCTTAGCCTGCCAAGTGGTGGGATCATAGGCGTGCGCCACTATGCCTGGCTGTCCTCCTTGTTAACACTGTTAATATTCAGTTGAGTCTAATGTTTATGAGTCAGTAAAAACACTCTTTATTCAGGAATCTTTTCTTATCTGAAGTTAAAAATATACCTATATTGGGCATAGATGAAAAAACAACTCCATTGGCTTAAAGTAAATTGAGGTAACTAATTTGAGATAAGACATAAATAAATCAACAAATACTTCATTTTTGTTTTAAAACAAAACAACCATAATAAAAACACAAAAAAATCACTGGCACATCTTCATTAACAATTTTTAAATTGGTCCATGAACATATTATTAAATAGGAAAACATTATTATAAAAATATTATATAATTTCATTCATCGAATACATTCCTCTGCTGAGATATCTAACACATCTTCATCTGTACTCTCTTCTATTTCTGGCAAGTTGCCCCAAAGTAGGAAGTTTATGCCTGGAAATAAAAGGTCATAAAATCTTTAGGGCTCACAACTATTATAACTCAGAACATGATACACAAAATTTAATAACATGTTATTCGTCAACGAACCAGTATCAACAATAAAGAGAATACAGAGAACAGTTATTAAAAGATGGACTACTACAAATAAAATTATCATTTATATAGGACACAAATATTCATTTTGCTATTGGTGGTGTTGGGATCAAGCTCAAGGCCTTATGCAGTAGCTTTACCACTGAACTATCATCTTGCAAAATTCTTTAAAGTCTTTTAAGCAAGAGCTTGGATTTTAGAATGTTAAAACTCAAAAGGATCTCAGGAATCTGTCCTCTCAAATCCTGCCTCTAGCAACATTATGCCATAATCACTCTATACTGATTATTTTTTAATCTATTTTAGTGATCTGTAAGGATGGTGCTCTCATAAAAACTACATGTGAGGTGGCCAGTGCCTCTAAATCCCAACACTCCAGGAGGCTGAGGCAGAACAATAGCCAGCTGGACCCCAGCCTGGACAGCTTAGTGACAGTAAGGGTCTGTCTCCAAAAAACAAAACAAAGCAAAACAAAAGAATTTCACAAGATTAAGAGTCCCTTTAGAGAGCTCAAGAAAAATCCCTGAATAAATCTAATGTCTTCCATAAGCATAGCAGTAACTGCCATTTTTCTGATTTAACAAAAAGTAAGATTTTGGAGCCAGTTACAAATCTAAACTGTATTCCTTGAAGTAGGCGGGCTTGTCTACAGATGTCAAGGCAGAGCTGTAAACTTCAGGACCAGGTTGCAACAGACAATATTGGTAACAGAACAATGACCTAAAATCTCATTTAGAGAGGCTAGTCAGATTTCACACTGAGGACTGGCAGAGTACAATATGAGACCAAATGCACTGAAGATAACAAGATGGTTTATTCTGGGCGTGTACTATGTCACAGCTTGACAGTAGTAAGTTGGGGGGGGGGGTGACCTGTAGGGAAGCCAAGGAAGGTCAACAAGAAAAGCAAATATCAAACTGTCCAGCTGTCAGGGTGGGCACAAGGAAGACTCAGTAACTCAGGACATCCTGCAGCACATGGTGGGACGCAATGAGCCGCAGTGCGAAGGAGAGTTTGAACCCAGTTCCCACCACTACCAGTACTCTATGGCCAGTGTCATTACTATTCTTACAAATGTATGCAACCATCGGCAATTAGATATCTAAACCTTTTTTTACAATGGTATTATACAATATGTGATCTAGTTTATCATTCATTATGTTTCTGAGGTTTACTTATTTGATATGTAGAGACTTAGTTCATTTATATTTAGTTCTGTAGAGTAGCCCACTGTGTGAATTAATATATATATTGCAAATCTAGTCTATCGCTTATCCCTTTCTCTAGCTGCCCATCCCACACAAGGAGACATGTACAGAGATGTGTGTTACATTGCTGAAACAGTAAAAATAATCAACTGTTTTGTTTGAAAGAAATATTAGTATCTAAACAGGGGAAAAATTTTGGCACTTATTTAGTGCTAGTGAGCCTATTATTGTATACCGTATTAATTTCTGTAATTTTTGAGTAACTTATTATGAAAAATATACCTGCCTACCCCCAAGATTGAATTCTGCTTCTAGTAACAGACACTGAAAAGCTGACAGGATTGCAGGGAGCCTAAGCTCAAATCTAAGTAAACATTAGATACCATAAAAGAAAATGGAGAGCTGAAGCTTTGAGAGTATTTGCCCAAAATCTAAGGAATCTGAGCTAAGAATTCCCATCCTCTTTGGAAAATTCTGGGAAGCCAAGATCTCTACATGAAAGCTACTGTAGAACATAGACCTACAAGGGTTCTTTTGCGTCTAAGCATTCTAGAATTTTGTAAAATGTGCATGTCTTCATTCCTTCAGCGTTATTTGATTCAGATGATTCACGGGCAGTCCCAATGCCATTAGAAACACTCATCTGCAAGGCACCTAGAAAATCCTACTTTAAATCACAGTATGAAGTTATGAAGAAGTTTGATATTTAGCACAATTAGTTCAAAGGAGAAAAAATAAACCAGGAGACTGAATCTGACAGAAGACCCACCTTCCTTTCTGTGTTAAGAGGAGGAAGGAAATCCTGTGCTACATCTGTTTCTCATGGATTAGATTCAGTGCTAATGAGAGAATGCTGGGCTTTTTATCTCTAAAATATTTACCAATATTAAAAAATAAATCAAAACTGAAAAATCTCCACCCAATGTTTTCAATCATCTGAAGCAGGAAAAAATGGTATCAAAGCAGCAAGTTCCTTTAATGTGTTATGAGCAACACAATTATAACACGAAAGTCCTAAGTTAGGAGCCTGTATCCTACTTAGTGGAGTGCAGAAAAGTCTTTGCTTCAAAAGGGTCTTAACAGTCTTAAATTAATACCTCTGGAAAGGTGGAATTAAGAGCCACAGCTGAATCCCAGGTGATTTTTAAAAAAAGCAAATCAGCCTACAAAAACCCCCAAGCATACTGGGAAGGTCTATGCTTAGCTCACAATTCATGAGCTCTTGGTTGTGAAGGCAAATCAAGTTTAAAAAAAAAAAAAAGAAGAAATAGATTTTCAGTTCCAAAGACTAAAACATGCATTTAAAAACCTGAAGCTAAGGGGCTGGGGATTTAGCTCAGCGGCATAAGCGCCTGCCTTGAAAGCAGGCAGTTGTGAGTTTGATCCCTGGTATCGATAAAAACGAAAAAGCCAAAAAAAAAAAAAAAAAAAATTAAAAAAAAAACCCTGAAGCTAGTTGTGGTGGAGCACACCTAAAATTCCAGCACTTGGGGAGGCTGATGCAGAAGGATTACCACAAGTTCAAGGCTGGCCTGGGCTACATAGTGAGTGAAAGGCCAGCCTGCACTACACAGTGATACTCTATCTTAAAAGAGAAAAAGGTGAAAGTTCAAGCCCAGCCTGGGCAACTTACAAATAAATAAATAAATGTTGGAGATATATCTCAATGTGAAATCCTAGGTTCAATCTCAAGTACTGCAAAAAACAGAAACAGAAACAAAAAAATAGCTGACAGGGTTAGTACCAAATTAGATCATCAAGTTCCTTTTTTTTCTTTTTTTGAGACAGTGTCTTATTAAGTCTCTAAATTGTTCAGGCTGGTCTCATACTTGTGTTTTCCCTCCCTTGGCATCCTTAAATTCTGGGATTACACAAATGCACCAACTATGCCCTGCCTGTCAAGTTCCTGTATGTCAACTTAGTCTGTGGTATGATAGCTATTGGACATTGAGAACATCTGTCCTCCAATAAAACTGAATGACTCCAGACAATATGAAAAGTATAATGCTCTTAAAAATTGCACCTATAACTGGTATAATATATTGGTAATACTATTTCCCTTGACTACAATTCTATACTTATTAATATAAATGTCAAAATGTCTATTTTTATCCTAGTGAATTACCAAATACAGAGGTTACCTAGTACTCCTCTTCCCACCTCTCTCTTTCACACACACACATGCACACAACTCATGTCTAAAATCTTCATGTAATTCTAGCACTTGGGAGGTCGAGGCAGGAGGATCTCAAGTTTGAGGCCATCTTGGGCTACATAGTGAGTTTAAGGACAATCTGGACTAGTGAGACAAAAAACAAAACAAACTCTTCAAAAATTCTCTGGGGGTCATAATAGGTATCAAGGTGGTTAACTTGAAGTAACTAAAATGTTAATTTAAAAAGACCAAGAAATCCAGCCAAGTTTGAAGCCCTTAAATACAGTGATCAACACAGAGATGGCAATTAATTTTGGCTACTAGTTTTATAGGTGACCATCTGGGAGAACTATGAGAACTATCTGAAGTATCCTGCTAGCTGATTCAATTCAGCTCTGAAGGTCTCTATTCTGATACTGTCAGGGGACAACCACAGGGGAACATCCACTGAACTGTTTTGCTTCTTACCAGTGGAGTCCAGTCTGTTAATACCATAAACTGCCTGGCTGTGAAACATCCAGAAGTGTCCATTGTTGCAGGAAAGAAGGCAGGAACTACAGGGAACAATCACGTGATAACCTACAATGTTTCCACTGAAAAAGAACAGAAATACTGTTAGACCCCATGCAATTACTGGCCCTTGGAAGCATTTTGATGTGCTAATGCAAACAAGTCATAGAATTCAGACTGTTTTTCCAAACAACCCCTGTTGCTAGGATCTTTGGGATGGGAATTACTCTGATAACAGCCGCAGTTCTATCCCAAAGTGGGAAAAGCGTCTGTAAGTTAAATGCAATGATGCTAATACATTATCATCTTTTTTGTGATTTTTAGTGGATGGGATTTGTTCGGTAGAGAACAGATATGAGGTTGTGGTTTGTTCTGTGAAATATCCCACATTGATGTGCTATTCAGACAAAATATATAAAGTAAATTCAGATCTGTGGGTGAAGGCTTTTGCTAGCCCAAGACTTGCAAGTTGGGCTCTTCAATGCTCTTGTTCTGTGCCAACTCCTAAAAACTGTTTCAGCAGATGGAGGAGTAGGAAGACAGCATGAGTCCCTGTAAACTAAACACAAGCTGGCCGCTCTAATTTTAGTTGCAGTGTTTTTGAAGGAATTCAGAACTAAAGCAAATCCTTAGGCTATAGAAAAAGATGAGAGTTTTTACTGTCTTCGTATTACCCAGCCAATGACAGCATTGCACTCGTCCTCAACTTTTTTCCAGGTAGTCGCATACTAGCCGGGTGAACATACAGGAACGTTTGAGTACTTTCTTTAAAAAATATGGCACTATGAACTATTTATACTTGGAGTTATAAAAATTCTTACTACAGCTGGGTCTCACCTTTGAGACGGGGGATGCAGTCACTCTTGGGAGACCCTATAAAGAATACTATGGAAGGTACGAGCCTTCCAAAATATGGCTTCTAATCATAACCTGCTTAAAAGGCAAACAGATGAAAACAGAAATCTTTTTTAGATGAAGACTGATGGTTATTTGTGAGACTCTATTGCAAGAGTAAATTGTGTGACTTTAGCACCTATTTTCATTCATTTATCCATTCAACCACTCAGCTAAGTTTACTGAGCATCTACATCATGCCAAGAACTGTTCTAGGTGCTGGGACTGGTTGTACACAAAAATCCTTATTCTCAGACCATTTTGCTCCTTTGTTAAAACCTTTCAATGGTTTCCCATGAAACAAAAGTGAAAATAAAAACCCTCTCCACACCAAGGTCTAGAACAGTGACGTGAACCTTTTAGAAATGAGTGCCCAAAACATGACCCGAAACCCTTTTATTTATCACAAAACACTAACACTGCAACTAATGTAAATCCTGAGGTTTTACTTGAGAAAAAACAACTCCTATCTTAACATGTTTTGTCTTAAAAACAAAGCACTTGTGCCATAGCTCACCCACCCTGCCCTTGTGTCTGAAACGTAGCTACCTACTGTAGCCACATGTGACTACTGAGTGCTGAACTGAAGCGCCTGCAACTCTAAAATATAAACCAGATTTTTTTTTCTTTTTTGTTTTTTTTTTCTGTTGGTACTGGGGATTGAACTCACGACCGCCTGCTTGCAAGGCAGGTGCTTATGCCGCTGAGCTAAATCCCCAGCCCCTATAAATCAGATTTTTAAAAGCAGGGGGAAAAAGTAAAAATGTAAAAACTAGCTGACAAGCGCGAGGTCATGAGTTCAAACCCAAGTACCAAAAAAAAAAAAAAAAAAAAAAAAAAAACCAAAAAAACCCCAGAAAACCCCAAAAAACAAAACTACCAAAAAAAAAAAAAACCCAACTAGGAGGCTGAGGCAGAAAGACTGCAAATTCAAGCCCAGCCTAGGCAATGATGTAATTTAAAAAGACTTCTCAAAATAAAAAGACCTGGGGATGTAGCTCAGGGTGAAGGCCTCAGATTCAATCTCTAGCACTGCAAAAAAAAAAAGATTATTATTTAGGCTGGTTTCACATTGAAATGAGAATATGTTGGGTAAATATTGTTAATCTTGGATATACTGTGTTAAACAAAATGTCTGGCTAATATTAACTGGTTCCTTTTGGTTTTTTGTGTGTTTTTTTTTTTTTTTTTTTGGTACTGGGAATCGATCTTAGGACCTTGTGCTTGCCAAACAGGCACTATGCCAGTGAGTTATATTGCAGGTCCACTTGTTTCTTCTAACTTTTAAAAATATTAGTATAAAAATTTAGCCAGGTGTGATGGCACACATTTGCAATCCCAGCCTTTGGCTGAAGTAGGAGGATCACTTTAAGTTTGAGGTCTGGGCTACAAAGTAAGTTCAAGGCCAACCTGCACTGTGTAACAAAACTCGGTCACAAAAGACAAATAAATAAATAGGTTCGGATATTTCTGTTAGACAACACTGTTTTGACTTTTTTTTGAGAGAAGATCTTCCTGTATAGCCCAGGCTTGCCTCAATCTGTTATCTTCCTGCCTCAGCCTCCCGAATGCTGGAATTATAGGTGTACACACTGAACTTCCTTACATTATTATCTCTCCTCTATGTTCCCCTGGGTCAGTATCTTTTTGTTTTTTTGGTAGCAGGGATCGAACTCACGGCCTCTTGCCAGGCAGGCATTGGTGCTGCTGAGCTAAATCCCTGGCCAACATCTTTTTATTCCTTGAACATACTGTTTTTTAGGAGGCAGTACTGGGAACTGAACCTAGAGCCTTTATACCGAGCTACATTCCTGGCCATTTTTATTTTTTGAGACAGGGTCTTGCTAAGTCACCAAGTTGTCCACGATGGGCCTGAACTCGCCTCAGTGTCTGAGAGCTGAGAGCCACGTGTGTGCCACATCAGGCACATAAGCTTCTTCACGTGCAAGTTCTTTGCATTTGCTGTTCCCCTCCTAGAACATTATTTCTTTGGCTTTTCACCTACTAGGACTCAATTCCAATGTTGTAGCTTTATGAGTTGGCTTTCCTGACCCTGATATTTAAAGTAACTCTCACCTACTTTCCCAGCTTCTGTTGTTCTCTATCTTATTAGTATTTCCTTTGGAGTACTTCCCACTATATTAAATATCCTACTTAAATTTTTCATTGATTGTGAACATCGTCCCACTAGAATATCAGGTCCAAATGCCAGTGACTTTATGTCACTCACGAGTGTGCTCCCAGTGCCTACAACAGCAGTGGCAAACCTATGGCACACATGCTGCGGCGGCACACAGCCTCCCTGTCAGCAGCCCAGCAGCTGAGCACCGGATACCACTTGTTTTTCTAAACAAAAACCTCAGTATGCAAGTTTAAATGCAGTGCTGACACTCTGCAGTAAATGAGTGGGTTTTGGGTCCCAGTTTGGGTTCTTGTCTCTGAAAGGTTTGCCATCACTGCACTGTAACAAGGGCTTGCACATGATAGGTCTTCAGTATAAGCGCAGCTTGAGTGAAAAAATTCAAATAGTCACTAACACATAACAGTTCCATGGTTTAAATTATTAGGATTACAATTTGCAGTTGCAATCACAAAAATTCAACTTTTCTAGCATGGGAATAGTAAGACAAAGCTGCCTACCTTTCAGAAGATATTAGCAATAGCTCTCTTTTATGTTTTATTTATAGTTTACCAGTCCTTTTAACATTCGTAATTCATGTCCTCTTCATGACAATTTCATAGGGTAAATACAGAAGACATTTTACTATCTATTAATAAGATAAAAAATTAAATAAGGAAACAAAAATTCAGAGGTCTAGAGGGTTAAGGAATTTATGCAAGATCACATAGGCAGTAAAGGAAGAGCTAGGGCTCAAATTTGCCTTTATGACTATAATTCCTAAGCTGTGGCCTCCTCCTTCCTCACTGTCTCATTCTGGGGGAAAAAAAAAATCAGATAGTTATGAATACACTTTGAAAAATTACAAAATCATATACAAATGTGAAGAATTAAAAGAGTCTAAAAACATAGCGCCAGAGCTGGGGATTTAGCTCAGCAGCGTAAACGCCTGCCTTGCAAGCAGGCAGTCGTGAGCTCGATCCCTGGTACCGATAAAAAGGAAGACAAAAAAACCAAAAACATAGCTCTAAGTAACAAATGGCTTTGCAATGGCTCACTGCGTGGGCTTAGATCCATGTTGCTTGCTGCCCACTGAGCCTTTCTCTGGGCTATGGTGTCAACATCCATCCTCCAAACTGAGGCTAGCGAGACTACTGCCATCAATTACCATTTTAAACATGCAATGTCCTTCAGTTTACACTTGCAGATTTCGGTGAAATAACATCTTCCAATGAAGTCCACTGCGCTGGAGAATGAAAAAGTTCACAGTCAAATCTACTTTAAAAAACTGAACTGTGGCACAAAAATAACACTTAACATCTTAATTTTTAAGTGTACTGTTCAAAATATAATCACATGATCCGGCAGCAAATCTCCAGAACTTCTTCATATTGCAAAGTTCTAAACTTAAGATATAACAATTTTCCACTTACCAGCCTCTGCTCTTGGCCACCACCATTAGACTTTCTAAGATTTGTCTAGGTCATATGCCTCATGTAAGTGGAATCATATAGCATTTATCTTTTCATAACTGGTTTATTTTACTTATCATAATATCCTCATGGTTCACCCATGTTACGGCAGATGAAAGAATTTTCTTCCAAGGCTGAATAACATGCCACCGTACATATGCACATTTTGTTTATTCACTCATCAACTGAGTTGATGGACATTTGGATTATGTCTATCTACTGGCTCATGTTTTTAACGCTGTTGTGAATATGAGTGTACAAATCAAATATTTTCTCAAGATCCTGCTTTAAATACACACACACACACACACACACATATGTTTTTTGTTTGTTTGTTTGTTTGTTTGGTGGTCAAGGCCTTTGTGCTGTTACATCTGTAGCTCTTTTTTATTTTTTATTTTGAGACAGGGTCTTATTAAGTTGCCAAATTGCCCTCCTGGGCTTGCACTTGCGATGTTCCTGCCTTAGGCTCCCAGAGGAGCCTATTACAGGTATGCACTACTCATCTGGCCTGCTTTGAATTCTTTTAGACAAATACTATGTGGAATTACTGATAAGCATACTTTTCATACTGTTTTCCATAGGGGTTGTACCATTTTACATTCTCAGAGTACATCAGGGTTCTAATTTCTCCACATTCTTGCTATAGAATGTACTTTTGTCATTCGGCACAAATTTTATAAATCTAGAGCTGAAAGAGACTCTAGAACAGAATTACAGTACATTTTGTAAGAATCAGTTAATATTTATTCACTATACTCACTATACATACCTGGAAAAATCTATTTTTAAAGATCTTACTTTTCCATTGATTCACACATATCTTATTATATTGGTCTATTATTATTATAACTCTGACAAAGAACAATAGAAAAGACTTACTATTCAAAAGACAAGGGAAACTGGGACAGGGGATGGGAAGAAAGAAAGGAAGGGAAAAGAAAAACCTATACACAAGATAGTTAAGACAGTTATACATCTAGTTTTTCTTAGTTCATTGAAAAGAAAGGGTTGAGTTAATATTGTTTGGACAATATTTCTTGCCTGTGTCTTGTACTCTGAATAACTAATATGAAGATAACAATATGCAATGTATTAATTATTGTTACCGTCCTACTAGCCTGTTCTGAAACTGTTTTGTTACTTTTTTGTTTTCCTTTTTAAAAAATAATTTAAAAAAGATGATTCTATTCTAGGCTATAGTCTAACAATTCACATATTTGAGTCCTCCTTAAGAGATTGCATATTACTACTGATATTATAGAAATGAAAGGGGTAATGTGTTAAATTTTGGTGAGTGTGCTACTAAAAAGAAAAAACCCACTAGACAGTAAATCATAGAACCTATTGTTGCAAAGCTTCTATGATTTACTTTCTAGTGTTTTATTCATTTTTGCAAAGCACAGTTTCATATGCACAAACTTAAAAACATTAACCCATTTATCTTTGCAATAAATTAGGATCAGCTTTGCAGTTATGCATGACTACACTTAAACCAATTCACAAAATATTTGAGAGGAAGAATCCACAGCTTGACTTGAGTATATTTAAAAACGTCTAAAACATCTATAATTATCATGAATTTCCTTTAAATAAAGGCTATAATAATTTCATTCTAAGTCTGTGTCCAAAGACTTGGAGAATAGTTGTCTATTCATAGTGTAACTATTTTCATTTTAATAATAAAAGTTTTGATAAAGAACAAACTCTTGGAAGTCACATAGGACATATGTATTGGTCATGGAAAGAAAAGGGCCATATATATATATATATATATATATATATATATATTATACTCCTCTTAGTACCTAGAAATTAAACTCAGAGCCTTGCTAGGCAGGCTCTGTGCTGCTGAGCTACAACCCTGGTCCAATAAAGGTATATCTGAGTAAAATAAAATGACTATTTTATCGAATAGGAAAATTTAAGGAGGCCACACTTAAAAGTGAGAAGTGGCAGAAAACAGACTTTGAAAGGATTCAGTTATGCAAACTAATGTGTAATGCCCAAAATACGGTTTATGGGTTTATCTTAAGGTTAAGTACTTTTTTGTCCCATAAAGATCTATTTGGTCTCTCTCACTGTGGAGTTGGTGGGGGGAGTTGAGAAACGAATTTTAAATCATGGACAACAGATTTGACTGAGCATGCCACTTGCAAATAAACGGTAGAACACTTTTTGTTTTGGTGTAAAACTTTACGGATAAGTATAAAATTCTTATGTGATTTATCTACAAAATCTTGCCTGAATTTACTTGGAGTCTTAAGTCTTGGGCCTGATTCAGTGGAACAAGATGGTTGGCAGGGATCGAACTTAAGGAATGTGTGGCCACGTGACTATAATTGAACTAGAGGCATTACATCAAGACTGACCACTTTGGCTAAACCACAGACTCTGTCCAGACAGTCTCCCCACTCAGATCTACTCCAAGGGCATTATCAGACTCTTGGGAGTGGTTGGAACACCAAATGATAACCTCTTCATTGACTCCGGGAGATCCAAGCCTTACACAAGTTCCCCATTTAAAGGCCACCGCTTCCCGCCACTAGCTTGACTTACTTGGTAGGAGGAATGTCTGTAGAGAAAAGGTCTATTTCAGTATCAGCCAGCAAGACAGCCTTCATTCCCCTAGAGCTGAGCACTTGTTTACAGAATTTGCAACACAGGACGGACACGCATCTGTCCTTGAAACTACAGCTGCTGGTGGTCATAGCGTTCCACGGAAGAATGAGGCGCAGTATTTTTGAAAAAGCAAACAAGAACAATACCCTTCCTACTTTGATTCTGCTGGCCAAAAAAAGAAAAAAGAAAAAAATCAAATCATATCAAATCCTGCGGTCTCAGATTCTTCTCTAAGCGCTAAAACTGGGAAGGGACAGGGTATTTTGCTGGTTTCCCGGTAAAAGGGTAAAAGTATGATTTAGTGAGAGGGAACAGACGGGAACTAGCAAATCTGGCTTCTATTCTAACTTTCGTTGAGGAGCATGAGATTGGCGGTGGGGAGGGAGGATGCAGAGTTGGAGAAAACTCCTCAGTCTGTCTGCTGTGTGCAAGGGCGCTCTCGTGTTCAGCTCCCGTCTCCACGATGTTCCGTCCCCGGTCCCGGACTCCGACCCAAGTTACCCTCGTTTGCCCCGTCCCACTCGCCCGGCCTCCCGGTGTCGCCCGGGACTCTTCAAGTCTCTCCCGCAGCGGCCGCTCCTGAGTGGTGGAGCGGACCAGAGGTCGCTTTTCAGGCTAATTCCACGGAAGAGTTTACCACGGAACACGTTCGAATGGGGCTTCCTCTTCCGTCTTCTCTGCCTTTCCAACCGGCTGTCAGTTTGAATTGCCAGCGCGGTGCACCGATTGGAAGAAGTAGAGTTCGCCCAAGTCGCGCATTGGAAGGCCGGCGACTTCCCACCCACAAGAGCTCAGTGGCTTGGAGACCATATGCCCCGCCCCAGTAACGGTGTCGAGATCAGTTCGGCTTTGTGGTTGGTCTATCTTGGCTCTGCCTCCCATCTCATTGGCCCGTCTCGACAGGTTCGGGCCCTTGCCAACACGCACACACTTCGTACTTCTTATTGGAGGATGTTCAACAGTCCTCACCGAACTCTCCTATCTATTGGCTAAAATTCCTTGCAAAGCCCAGCCTCTTTACTCCTGTCCAATTGGTCTTGCCATCTCTCAAGAGTTTGTGTTTGGCTGTCGGTTCACTTTAGTCCCGCCCATCAATTCTACTTCGACAGGAGGAGCTTACTGTGGGACCACGCCTCTGTAGTGAGTGCTAGTCACGCCTCCAAATTTCGTCCGTTCCGCCCCTCATTCCTGGCTTCTCCGGATCAGCTGTTTCTATTGGCTAGGGGCCCCATCGGTCGATAGAAAGCGGGCGGTGATTGGGTAGGGGGAGGGTCCAGCTTCCCGGCGGGGTCTCGTGGAGTTGGCTGAGGCTCCTCCGGGGACTGGGGGCAGAGTTGCGTAGAAGCGGGTGGCTGGCAAGAGAGGGGAGGAGAGCTCTGAGTGGGAAGCGAAGTCAGGGGCCTGGGACCCATCGCGTCAGAGCCAGGTAAAGGCTCCTTTCCTCTTCCCTTTCTTCCAGACCGCCAGGCTGGAGCCCTGACTGAAGAAACCCGGCCCGGGCGGGAAGGAAAGGGCGCGGATGCCACCCGCCCGGAGTCCCTCAGGCTGCCCCCCCGCCCCCGACCCTCCGAATCTCCAATACAGCCCATAATACTTCTCAGGACAGCGTGTCCCCCGCCCATCACTGCCCCGCGCGCCACTTGGTCCCGGCTCCCATGCCGCACCCAGCCCTCTCCCCATCCCGGGCTGCCGGGCGTTCCGGGGCTGCCTTCGCTGGCAGCATCCGTGCCCTCCGGCTGGCCTCTCCCGCTGTCTCCCAACCTGGCAAACGGCCCAAGTCCCAGCCTAGGACCCAGAAGGATGGGAATTCCTCACAGCTTCCAGGGGCCTTTTCCTGACCAGCCCCCGGCCGGCCCCGAAGGGCTCTTTTCACCCGCTGACCTACGTCTCGGTGCCCAGAGTTGCCCCCGTCCTTGCACTTCGCGCGACATCGCAGCCCCCGTCGTCCCCTCCCTGCCCCGCACCCCAAGGCCGTCCTTTCCGTACTCTCTCCCGCCTGTAAGCTGTGCAGCTCAGCTCCGGGCCGCGAGCTCCGCCTGGCCTCAGGACCCCACTTTATACCCGCCTACCCCCCGCCGCCTGAGCGCCCTCCGCGTGGTCTTTCCTCCAGCCGCGGGAAGCGGGGAACACCAGAGGGAGCCTCTTCCTCCCGGCGCCCGGAGGGGCAGGGGCGGCCGGGGAGGGATGGTTGCCCAACGCCTAGCTCCGTGCTCCGCTCGCTTCCCTCCCGCCTCCTGGGCCTTGGTCCGGGCGGGATCTCCTCCCTGTGCGACCCTCACCTAGGTATGCGGTATCTGGGATCCCTGGGCTTGGGTGACTAAACGCACTGAAGAGGGCTTATAGAGTCATTCACGTCCCTGGCTTAGGGGAGGTGACGGCTGCCTTCCGCCCCCATCCTTCGGTTTTCCCGGTTCCGACCCTCGCCTCTAATCCATTTCCTGCTTCTGCCGACCACATTGTTTTCCTGGATGTGTCCCGTGCCGAGCAGGCTTTTTCCTGCACCCCCCCCCCAACATTCTGCTGCCAAGAGAAGCTAGTAACCAAAAACAAAACAACTGGGAGGAGGGGCGGGAAGGGAAGAAAAGTTGTGCCCAGTTGGCGTGTCCCTCTTCGACTTTGATCCCCTTTGATGTCCATTGAGATGCCCCCCCAGGGGTTAGGGGCCGTGTCGGCGGCAGGGCTGGGAAGGCCCCTCGGGCTGGCGGCTGCCCAGCGCTCTCAGGGCTTGGGAAGCCGCCGAGGTGCCGCAGTCCCCGCCCGGGGCTCCGTGTTCCCGCCGCAGTCTCCGCCCGGAGCCCGCACCGGCAGCTGCTCCAAAGTGTTTTCTTTCAGCCTTAAAACAAAATCCAACCTCCCCACCTCGCTGCTCTCCTCTCGGCTCTGCCGGCCCTGCGGCGGTTGGCTGAGATGAATGGGCCCAGGCCGGGCTCTGAGCTACGTCCCCTACCCCATCCCCCGCTGCGATTAGGATCTGAGCTCGCGCTGATGGCCCCCTCCCCCTTTTCCTGCATTTACAGGCAAGTGAACCGGAGCGAACGACTTCCGATCCAGTCTGCGCTGCTGCGGCTCCTGTTTGGGATTTGATTTGCAGTATCTTCGAGCCTGTACGACAAAAAGCCCCGAAGCACGCCCAGCCCTCCTCGGCACCCAGATACAGACCCACTCTCTCCAGGGGACACAGCTGGGCGCGTCCACACCCCCGCACCACCACACGATGTTGTGCGGAAGGACTTCCACTCCCCTCCTGTGTCATTGATGTCAGACCCCAGGCCAGCCTCCGGGCACTGCAGTTCTGCCGGCTAAGGCTGCGGCTCCGGCTGTAGCACAGAATCCAGCTGCCGCCGCACCCGGCCCCAGCGCCCACCGTCTGCATGTGCCCATCTTAGCCGCCTGCCCAGCCCGCAGCCGCGCTCCTCGGAGCGTTGGAGACAACAGCGGGGGGCCCTTTCTGCCCTTGGGAGAAGCGGTCTTGGAGGTATTGATTTCAGTGGTTGGATTTTTCCCGTGGATCTATCAATTCACAATTCAAATTTGGAAGAAAAAAGGAAAACATGACGTCTCCAGCCAAATTCAAAAAGGATAAGGAGATTATAGCAGAATACGATACTCAGGTCAAAGGTAAGGGCTCTGAAAAAAATAGCATAATGCATACGCTGAGTGGACTGGTGAGGCGTGTATTTCCATTACTATTTGCAGGCTGTTCATTTCTTTGGGTGGAGTAGGTGGGGATCCGCGGACCCCAGAGGTAGTTCCCATAGGGAGGGTCTGAACCTCTGAAGACTGGACAGTGGCAGGGGTCACAGGCACTGGGAAGGAATTGGAGTGGGCTTTAGGAACGTATATGTGCTGGCCATTATTTTGGCAGCCCTTTCCCCCAGGTTGAACAGGGTGGGGGGAGGGGCAGGAGATTCTTGGATAGAAAAAAGGCAGCAGTTTGCTTCTGGACATCTGGGTCAGGTGTCCTTGAAGAACAGCAGAAATCTGACAGGTGTTTGGACATTTATTTTAGAGGTTGAAGATCTAGACAGAAAGGCAACCTTGAAAATGTGTACCATATGGTGTACCCTGAGAGGCGGGGTTTGTTCTGATGCACTGTATTAGAGCCTGAGATTTGTTATGGCACTGGCCGCAGAAAGTACCTAGCCATCTTGGGTGCCACCTTGTACCTGCCTGGTCCCTGGGCATGCTGCATGTATTGGTAGAGATCAGAGAACAGACAGAATTTGGCCACCTACATCCAACCTACGCCCTTACCTGAATCTGAATACAGTTGGGATGTTAGGGTTTCAGGGTGGTGCTGAGTTTGGAAAATGAGAAGACATAATTGTTTAACCCTTCTGTGTTGTCACCCTCTGCTCCAGAATGCATACTTTTAAGTCCCATTTCCCTTTCTGCAAAAATGTGAAGGGTAAAGCAAAATGTGGGCACAGAGAAAGTAAGTGCCCTGTCTTCCCATCTAGTCTACTGGCTGACTTGGCTGGTCAGTCAGAGCTCAAACCCATGTAGCCTTTTCTTAACCCTTTACAAGGGGTCTGTGCCTGTGAAAGAGCCCTAGCATGTGTTTGCAAGGCACTGTCCCTTTCTGACCAGTCACTGGAAATAGCCATGCAACTCTTGTCCATTGAGACCTTAGCTGGGGAGTGGGAGAAGTGGGTGGCCTTGAATGTTATACCACATGGTTGGAGCTCTGGGTTTTCCTTTGTTTCAGAGTACAGTGGGAGGGGCCCCTCCTTCCTTCCCTGCACCAATGCTAGGAGAGACCTTTTTCTATCATAAAGGACTTGGGAAGGACCATGTCTCTTCTTGACTGATTGCCTAGGGTAGGAGTAGGGGTAAAGTATGAAGGGGCAGGTCCCTTATCTCTTGGCAGGTTGGAAGGTAATTTGAAGTACCCACAGTGTCTGCAGGGTCTTTTTTGTGTCATCAGTTTGGTCAGTGCAGGAGGTGCCCTAAGGGACCTTCTATCCACTTGGCTGCAAATATTGCTAGATTTATTGCAGAGATGGGGGAGTTGATGATTGATAGCTTCAGTTGAACTGGGACTGAGATAGGCGTGGTTGTGAGTTATAATTGAGGTCTTGGCCTCTTGTCACTCTTGGTAATCTGGCCTGTTTTTGTAAACAATAAACCACTGGCCTCTGTGTCCTACCCAGATGTACTGCAATTTGCTCTGGGAATCCCCCCCTGCAGTTTTACTCAAATAGGACATTAGAAAAAAAAAATATGTGTCTTATTTGTAACTGTTATCATGAAGCCTGGTAATAACTTTGACTTTTCCTGGATTTTCTGGAAGCTTACCATTTGACTTAAGGTGCAGAGTGATTTCACACGTTTGTTTTTGGGAAGATTCAGGGCTGATAAGGATTAATACAATCTGCCAATTTTTTATTGGTAAAGAATTTGTCATGAGTGTCTCAAAATTTAACACTTCATGTACAGACCTTGCTCACTGAAATGATGTAATGTACCCAGCCACTTGGGGTTTCTCTTCAGCTTTGCCATAATCAGGAGACTGGTTTCGCTCCTATATTTTTCCATTGACATGTTTCAAGATCATAGAATTTTATGGGTGACAGTACGTAATATCTTCCTTGTAGCAGATACCCCCTAAGTGGGCTATAGAATGGATTTGAATAGTTTGGTCCTTCATTTTATAGCTGAGGTGAGTACAGAGAAACATCAAGGCTTGTCCAAGGTCACACAGCTAGGTGGTAGCAGATCTGAAGCTAGAAGTGGGTTTAGTGACTGCCAACTGCCTATTCTCTATCTTCAATATGAAACTTATCTGATTGGTGTGGAAAAAAGAACTGACTAGGGAGCCCAATTCTATCAATGAATAATAGTAATAATAATGTTAATAGTTTATATTTTGTGTGCTCCATGTGTTCTATCCTGTTCCAAGTGCTTATATGAATGGTCTGGTTTAATTGTTGCACTAATCCAAAAAGAGGGTGTTGTCCCCTTCCATTTACCACATGAGGACAGTAAGGTTTGGAAAGGATACGGAAGGGCTGGGGTTATAACTCAGTGGCGTAGCGCCTGCCTGGCAAATGCAAGGCCCTGAGTTTGATTCCCAGTACCAAAACAAACAAGCAACAACAACAACAAAAAGGATTCAGAAACCTTCCAAGATCACTCAACCAGGTCACAACAACTTCATTTCAACTGTTTATTGAGTGCCTACTATGTATTCTAGGGGCTGGGATATAGTTGTGAAGAAGACAGAATTCCTACCCTTAGGAAGCTTAAGTTCCTGCGGGCAAAGGACATGTGTTCAAGGTTGTCTGTGCCTCTAATTACCTAGAAGCTCTGAGTCACAATTAGGAGTTTCAGCTTTTTATATGTTCTTTGGACCACTCAGTGCTGCCAGCTTTATTTCTCTTATAGATGCCAGAATAAAAAAGAAAATTGCTGTAACAAAAGTGGCTTGGATTGTTACAAGTTTTGGAGATAAGGATCCAGGTTTAAATCTCTGTTTTGTCTTTCATTATATACCTTGCCTCAGCTTCAGTTTCTTAATGTGGACAAGCGGGCAAAATAATATGCATTTCCAAAGGTGGTTGATCTCTCAGTAACATGGTGTAGGTAAATCACTCAGCATAGCTCCGGGCTCTTGTGGTATGATCTACCCTTTGTTAGTGAGTTGTCTTGGGCTGAATAGTAAGGCTGCACTGCCTGTCCGTTTCTAAAGTGCTAGATGCTAAATGCTAAACTTGAGTTCTAGTTTAAGTGGTATTTGGACACCGGTTTCCTTTTCTATAAAATGAGCAGGTACGCTGTGAGCGTGTGAAAGTGTTGGCTGTCACTGTTCGGTATGTCTCTAGTAGGAACCCTGGGTGTGCTTTTCAGTCGGAATGATTTAAATCAAGTTTGTTCCAAATGGACTTTGCAGGACCCTCTCTAGCCTCATTTTTGCCTCCTCTTGAACCACTTACTTGCATGTGCTCTGAAGAGCTTCTGAGAGGGCAGCCCCAACCTGACCCCAGCTTGGTTTTCCGAGGGGCGTGCCTCCTTATGCAGCCTGCTCTGGAGCTGACCTTCTAAAAACCATCATTGTTTCTGGTTTGTGGGTGTTCAGATTCTTTTGAAAGTTCATGCCTTTCAGTGTTGGAGTCAAAAGCACTCATATTCTTAGTCTTTCTACATAGTCTTTTCCAGTTTACAAAGTGTTTTCATATATATTAATTGCTGGAGGTTGTTTTTTTTTTTTTTGAAACAGGATCTTGTTATGTGTTCAGGCTGGTTTTGAACTTGCAGCAATCCTCCTGCCTCAGTCTCCCCAGTGCTGGGATTATAGGAATGCACAACCACACCCAGTTATTCTCTGAAAATTCTTGTAAACCCTTGTCAGGTGCATGATCGTAAGCTTGAGTAGTGAGGTACAGGGCATGGTAAAGATGACTGTCTGGATGGTATCTGGATGAATTCACATTATCCCTACAGGCCTGACTATTGTCCTTGTTTGCTCAAGACTCCCTTTTTTTTTTATCCCCTCCATACATTACATTTTATAGTCCCCCAGAAAGCTTGAGATTGACAATTAATGCAAATATTCCAGGAGGAATAGTTTCAAACAAAGTGCCGCTGTGTGCTGACTGAACAGCTGGATTCTCTTTCTTGAGAACATTAGGGGTCTCCTCTGTATCTCTCTCTCTATTCTCTCTGTTTCTCTATCATGTCTTAAGAGAACAGTATGTGTGAATCACAGAGCTGCGAAGTAGATTTTTGTAATTTCCATCTGGAGCATTTTGATGCAAAAGTGCAGGCCTTCCCCTGAACAGTTTAACCCTTTCAGAAGCCTTTGGGAGCTGGAGATGAAATTTCAGAGTCCTTTTATTGTGTATGCATGTGCTCTTGGGAGTACTGATTGCTGGTATTTAAACAAGCGTGCTCCCTAGGGAGATCTGAGCAGTTCTTCACTTATGCCAACACGGGTCTTCTCTTGAAGCTTCTTCCCTTCCAGCCCCTAACCCCTCCCAAGGGAGCTTTAAATATAATCAGTTTGTGAAAGGCTGTAGTAAAACGTCTTAGAATCTTCAAGCAGAAGCTATTATTTTCCTGTGAGATAGCCAGAGCTGCTCTCCCCTTGCTAAGTGAACGTAGCCATTGTGCAGTATGACCAGCTCCTGGATTCCCTTGAAGCTCTTGGAAAAAAAAATACCAAGCATCATGCATCTCAAAGATACTAGACCCTCTGGAAGAAAGGGAGAGCCTGGTTTCAAATTCACAGGGATCCTTCTACCTCAGCCTCCCCAGTGCTGGGATTATAGGCATGTGCCTCCACACCCATCCAGAACCTGATTTTTAAGCTCCCATTTCCCCTCTGGATAAGCTGAGATGTGGCCCCTGTAGTTTTTCTTCTGAAAGGAAGAAATTTATTTTTATTTTTATTTTTTATTTGTGTGTGTGTGTGTGTGTGTGTGTGTGTGCACGCTGGCGACTGAACCCAGGAGCATATACATGCAAGGCAAAAGCTCTACCATTGAGCCATATCCCCAGCTCTGAAAGGAGGTTTTCTTTATAGGAATTGCACTTACTACACAGGAACCCTGGAGCTCTGACAGCTACACCAAGGAAATACTGTGTCAGGGTGAGGGGAAAACTGTGGATATGTAGAT